CCCGGCAGCGCTGTGCCCCCTCCCCACGCCATTTTCCCCTCGGCTCCCCTCAGACCGCCCTGCGGCCCCGCTCCCAGCCCCGCACCCGGCGCCGTGGGCAGGAGGTCGGAGCAGTGGTTACAGAGATACATTTTGGCATTAAAGTCTCGAAAAACGTAATCCCTTAGCACTTCAAACCACTGCCTGCCCTATCACCACCCGACAGAGCGAAATCCAGGCGGGTGGGTTGTGAGCTACACCTAGTTCTTCTTACTACCAGGGTAGAATAAACACAACCAGCTCAGCTCCCATGCCTCACAACCATGAGAACAGGATTAAATGAAATTCCTTCAGACTTCTAGATCTTTAACAGAGCTATCAGACAAACAATGAAAAACCCGCAGACTGGTGTTTCTCGTGGTGTTACTGTGAAGCATTCGCACTTTGCGCAGGGTTGTTGTGACCCGGACTGTCCACATCTGCCCTTCCTTAGGTGTGACGGCAGACAGACTCCTTTAAAAGCAAACTACAGAGCACACGCAACAATATAACAAGGCTCTTTGTCCCATCGCGCATCATTTTGTCCCTTTAACTGACTGCGCCACAACCAAAAAAGCCTGGAGTAAGAGGGACGTGCTGGGTGGTTGCTCCCACCCAAGGAAGCAGCGGAGAGTCCTTGCAGGAGACCTCGCCGCTCCGCACGGCCTCTCCCGCCGCAGCTCTCCCACAGACGGGTTTCACCCAGGCGAGGGGTGGCCTCTCCCGCCACAGCTCTCCCGCAGACGGGTTTCACCCAGACAAGGGGCTGGGACGGCAGACAAAAACTGCCCTGCGTACCTGGAAAGTGATCCATCAGTCAAACCCTGACACTAACGATACTGGCTGCTCGCTCACTCCCTCCAATTAGACTCATGACAATGCTTTTAATTAAAAAAAAAAGTAAATAAAAAATCCAACATGCTCCCCAACAAATCTTTTCTTAGGCAATGTTGCAACCACACGGCACCCCATCAAGCGAGCCTGTAGTTAGGAAGAAAATAAACAGGTCTATAGGGACATTTCATCATGGCGCTAAGCTTCATGCCAAACAAGCGCTGACTAAACACCGTGCAAATGGCTTCTTGTCAAAGGTGTGCCATGAGCAGGTATTTGCAGAAAGAGGTATTTGCAAGGCAAATCAATGGGCAATCCTCAGAAACCTCCTATTTTCAGCATTGTTAGTGTTACATATTCAGTAGAACCACAGAATTGCCCCTTCCTACTCCCTTGTCTTCAAAATGCCGCCTGTATATGTAAATAATAAAATCAGCAGGTATTTTCTCTGTCCCTCACCTCAGAGTGGAAAGGCTCACTTTGCACTCTGCCACAGCATGTTCCAGTTGAGAAGCTATAAAAATGTCTCATCCTCACAAACTGCACAAAATGTATTATTTTACCTCAAACAAAAGTTCTCTGGAGTAAAAAAATTGTATCATTTTGGGCAGGCAAATACTTGTATGATTTAGGGAACGTAAGTCAACTTTCTCCCAAACTACTTGCTTTTGAAAAGGGTTAGCTTTTTGGTAGAAAGAAAACAAAACATATTCAGAAAGTTTCAATGCTCCCCAATACAGCACTGAAAATCCACAAAATATGGATACAACCACTCAGTATAATCAATAGTAACTAATCAGCAATAATTGCTTAACTTTCCCGAACGACTATGAGTATTACTGAGTGCAAACAAGGTCACATTTGCTCAGTAATAATGATCCAGGCTAACTAAAGAATAACGACTTTGAATAGTTGTCCATTACTTGGTGTTATTTAATAGTGCTGCATTTTCTGCTAACAATCTTGCATTATTTAGATTGTATTTTGAACAGCGCTGGAGGCTACTTCTATTTAGAATGTTTCCTGGAACCACGACCTAAAAATGCAGTATTCTTTTCATTACTTACAATTAGAATTGAGTAGAATTGAGAAAACGAAGTGCCTGGTGAGCACTATCACTTTTGTTCACACTTCATGACCGAGACAATAAATCTGTTCAGGCTGATGATGGAGAAAGCCCCCACTAAGCCAACAGCAATAGACTTGAAAGCTTTATGAATTCTTCTTCACTAGCCACTGACGTTAGCATTAAGGCTGGTAATACAGAAAAGGGCAACTTCTGCAGGAATTCCAATGAATGGAGCAGAAACCTTCCTTTCCCCGAGTCAGTTCGGGATAACAGTTACATTTCAGTCATTTGCAAAAGGAAACAGCAGTGTGATCAGCCTCACTGATCAAAGGTTGAGTTTTTCTCGGTTTGGAGGCAGAACTCTGGGAGCGAAGTTTGCAGAAGAGGCAAGCCGTTTCTCCCTGTGCCAGGCAAGCTGTTCCCCAGAGCGGGATGGACTTCCATCACTCAGTCCTCTCAGCAGGTGACAGCTCTGTGCTGACTTTTGCTTGGAGACTCCCATGGCTACCATTTTTCTGTCAACTCAGATGCTATGAGACAGAGCTTTCCCAAAAGGTACCGTAAGAAGATTGCTGTGGAATTGACCTTGGTCATTCTATGTGGGAATTAGTTAGTAGATGAACCTGTTAATTTTCCCACACAGAAAAAATCTCTGCAATTTTCAGAAAAACACGCAGCATTTGGTTTCACCGGCACATGGGAACGTGCTTTCTTCCCTCCCTTGTGGGGCCTAGGGCATAAAGGGGCTCTCTAGAAGGCGACAGCTTGAGGGAGAACGCGGGAAGGGGATCACAAAGCAGTCGATGGTCACTACCGCATTGTTTTACCACCTGGGTAAAGAGACTGGAATATTATGGTGCTGGCCACCACAGCGATGGGAACTCACCTTCAGAGCTCCCTCACGAAGCTTGTAGAGCTCCTGTGCTGGGAGGGATCCAGCGCTCCTTCCCAACTGTTTATAGGACCTCTGTGTCCACAAGCGCTCTCCTTGATGAGCTGCATATAAGTTGCTTATGATAAGGGTCTTTATTAATTTTTTTTTTTTTTAAGTGTGGAGACTGACTAGCATGAATCCTACATTTATCACTTTTCTTCTTTTAAAAGCTAAACAGATGGCCTATGAATTATGAAAAGGAGGATTTGCTTTTGCTTTCAGTACATGGTCATGGAGCTTGGAGGGGGAGCTCAATGCTCCCAGCAGTTTGCAGACTGGCAGGAAAGGTTATATGACCATATTTAAAGCTGGAACACAAGAAAAATAGATAACAATAGCAAAGCTGGTAGCCTGAGTTTTGCTGTCGCAATCGCTGGCTGAAAGGAATAAAAAGGAAGCATCTTCCAGGTTTGCAGTGGTGATCTCAGTATTGTGAGGCCAAGTAAGAGTCGTATGTAAGTAGAGAATACTGGAGCCCAAATGAAGCTGGCAGACTGCAGACAGCCCACTTTCCACATTAAGGAAATAAGCCCATAAGTCTGAAAAGTGGGTCTTTCAATAATTTGTCTTTTCTGAAAGGTTGCCAAACAATTCATTTTCCAGGGGAATGGATTTCCAGCGGATTCCATTTCTATAGGAGGTAGCAGTGGTCATTTGGGGAACAGGAAGAGAGAAGAAAAGAAAGAATCACTCCACAGAACAAAGAAAAAACCTGAAGTGCCTTATGTTTAACCACTGAAACTGAGATTTGTAATTCCCTATTTCATGGAGCTAGTTATAAACTAGGCCTACTCACTTGACTTAAATGGAAATGTGAAGCAGGGTTTAGCTTTGCCAGAGTTCACAAAGCAGTTCCCTTTGTTCTGGTGGCAAGGCATTTGTAATCCCCAGGCCACATGGAACTGGCTCTGAACCACAAACTGAAGCCAGCTTAGAATCCAATAGAAAACCACAGGGAAAACCAAGGGAGTTTAACAAGTCTCAGAACAAAAGCAAGCAAAATTGTGAGGTTGGCTTGACTTCGAAGCAAGGACAAGAGGGAAATAGGGAGGATATAAAGACATGGATAAGAAGGACTTTTTAAATTGAAGTGTCAATCCCTAAATTATTTTTCATCTTGCTTTGGATTCAAGACAATTCATCAGCCCTATGGCTGAATTCAAATTAGAGGAAATATTCACAACTTTGGAAAAAACTTTTTTGGCATTTGTGTTTCTGCTAAGTGAGGGTGGTTTGCCAAGAGAGTGAAGTAAAACAATTTTGTCTGTAGTATACATGGAACCTTCCCTCCTCGTTTATCG